TGCATAGCTAAGAAACGGGTATGTCTCTTCATACACTCTGCTTCTGTCAGCAGAATTAAACTGAAACTAATGCAGATTGAAGAAAACTGAATTGAGGGGTAAACCGATCCAGTTCAAAACAGCAAAAGAAGGCGACACTACAAAAACCTTGGAAAAACAGAAGGCTGGGGAGATGCCGAAGTGGGCCGGCAGCAGTGAAGGTAGGCTGTGAGGAGGATCAGGAGGCCGAGTGGAGCCGCTGAAGCAGAGGGATCAGGAGGCAGCAGCTTGGAGAAGGCAGGCAGGAGACAGAAAAAGTTTCAATGTCTATGATCTGGAGGAATAAACTGGGCTTTTATGGCACAAGGTGATTGAGAGCAGGTGAGTCGATCCCAGCAGCTGTCTCCAATCAGGCACACTGCAAGACTGAAATGACAGGAGAGAGGGAAAGGGAGAGGGAGAGGGGGCTGGGCAGGGGCTGAGGCTGAGGTGGGTCCTGGTAAAGGCCTTGTCCCCCAGATGGGGATTAATAAAAACGAAGCTACAGCCTGTTAGGACTTAATTGCCATTACCACTCTATTTGTTCACTTCAGCATGTACATATTAGTGGTGGTATGCAATTAAAAACATTTATCTAGTTATTAGAGGCTTGTAATCAATTAATTGTGACTCATCAAATTTCTATCCAATAGCAACATTTGACACAATAAGCAAAGTTTTTCAATCCAAATAAATGTTGGTTGAGGACTGAATCAATAATTAGACATATAACTGAACTCAAACAACCAAAATGTGCATTTTCCATCTGTCTACTACATTCACAAATTAGTAAAAACTCAAGGTGCAGTTATAGTGATTATATTCACCATTTTAACCTTTTTGTCTTAAAATTCTTTGTTGCACAATTTGCACACAACCATGCTCTGATCCAAGCTGCTATCGCCCAACAAGCCAAGCAATGAGTCTCATCTTCCATCACTGTTCACCAAACTTTCTTGTGCGCTGACGTCACTCAGTGCATCCTGAGCATCACAGCTGGAAAACAAACTTTTGGTGCATTAGCGCCACCTACCAGCTGTAGTGTGTGCACAAGTGTTACCAGTGTGCCAGAAATTAGGGAACTGAGAAAGGTGTGATTAAATGCGTTGTCGTTTTTTTGATTAATTAATCAAAATTAGCGTGTTAAAGTCCCAGTCCTATTATGTATATATATATATTACTACAGGATTACTATTGCAACAACACATCATCAGTAGGGTAAAACTAACCTGTCTCACAACGGTCTAATCCCAGCTCACGTTCCCCATTAGTGGGTGAACAATCCAACGCTTGGTGAATTCTGCTTCACAATGATAGGAAGAGACGACATCGAAGGATCAAAAATCGACGTATATATACACACACACACACACACATACATATATACATATATATATATTTATATAGATAGATAGATATAGATATATATACACATATACGCCAAGTGTTCATGCAAACAAATAACAAATTTATTAGACCACTTGTTATAAAAACAAGATAAAGTAAACATTTTAGAAATATTTCAAAAACTTGTTTAAACCTAAATTTGTTATTTATTTGGTAAGTAACACACTGACACAACTAAACATTAATTTTTCACACATAATAATCAAAAGCTTAATATCTTGTATGGCCTCCTTCGGCCTTGATAACAGCTGCATTCTTGCTGCCAATGTTTTCATGAACTTTTCAACAGTCTCTGTTGTTACTGAGTTCCAGATAGTTTCTAGCTACTCCCACAGACTTGCTTTAGATGAAACTTTTGTGTGATCAATCTTTGAATGTACTACATCCCAATTTTTTTCAATAAGATTCTAATCCTGACTTTGACTTGGCCAGTCCATCAGTTCCAGAACTCCAGATTCCTTTTTCTTGGTCAGATAGTCTCTGTATAGCTTTGAAGTTTGCTTGGTCTCATTGTCTTGTTGGGGTATAAACCCACGACCAATCAGATTCAGTCCAGAAGGGATTCCATGATGCACTAAGATGTTGTGGTAGATGTTCTTGTTCATGGTACTGTTGATTTTCACTCTTTTTTTTTAACTAAGCATAACATTCAACCACTAAAACTCTATTTTCTGTATAGGAATACAAGTAAATAACTATAATTTGAAATCTTCATCAAGAAATAATAAGGTGCTTTACTATTTTGTTTATTTCTTTTTTTTTTTTTTTTGCAAAGCAGTAAGTTTGAAAATTCATGGATAGCAATAATAATTATATTTTTGCATTAAAAATATCATTTGGGTTAAAGAGCTTCTACATAATTCTTTTTACATACTTGTGTACATAACAATGGAGCCTAATTCCTTGGATGTAAACACATA